CCCAGACAAACATTGATCTGGTGGGGTTTTTTCCTATCGTTTCTCTCTTTCCAGAATGGAAATAGTACCGTATGAAGCACTTTATGTTGACTTATTTTGGTGAAGTCCAAATATAATTTTTATGGATCATATTTTTATGTCATATCTAATAAATCTTTTCTTAACCCAAGGTCACAGTGACTTTTTTCAACAGTTCTGTGAGCTATAATTCACATAATATAAAACTGACCCACCTAAAGCATACAATTCAGTGCTTTTCAATATATTCACTGAGTTGTACAACTATCACCAATTTTACAGCATTTTCATGTCCCCTCCTCCCAAAGAAACCCCATGCCCATTAGCAGGCACTCCCTGGATCCGTTTCCTATTACTGCAGACTGGGTGGCTTAAAACAGTATTAACTTATTATCTCGCCATTCTGAAGGCAGAAGTCTGAAGTCAGTATCACACTGTACTGAGATGAAGATGTCGACAGGGCTACAGTCTCTCCAGAGACTCTAGGGAAGAATTTGTTCCTTGCCTTTCCATCTTCAGGTAGCCGCCAGCATTCTTTGGTTTGGGGCTGTTTTACTCCAATCTTCAAGGCCAGCATCTTCAGTCTCCCTCTGCTCCATCTTCATATCACTTTCTCCTCTTTGTGTTCAAATCCCCCTCTGGCTGTCTTACATAAGGATACGTGTGATTGCATGTAGTTCCCATCTATGTAATCCAGGATAATCTCCCCATCTCAAGATGTTTAACTTATTCACATGAGCAAAGATCTTTTTTTTTTTTGCCATATAAGGTAACAATCACAGGTTCCAGGGATTAGGACACAGGTATCTTTTAAGAGGACATTTATCAGCTTACCACAGTCCCCATTCCTACAGTCTCAGGCAATATATTTATTATATATACAATCCCAGGCACTAATATTTTTGTCTTTATAGACAAAAAAATCAAAACTTATTTTAAAAAAATAATCAAAAATTTCTTGATCAATTCTGGACATGTCATAAAAATATAATTGAGCAATATGTGTTCCTTGTGACTGGATTCTTTCATTTAGCAGAATGTTTTTCAGGCTTGTCCATGTTGTAGCTGTACTTGTGCTATACGTTGTATTAATACATCATTCCTTTGAAAGGCTGAATAATATTCCACTGAATGAATATATATGTTTACCATTTATCGGTTAACAGATATTTTATTTGTTTTCACTATTTAACTACTATAAGCAGTGTTACTATGACTATTCATGTACAAGTTTTTGTGTGGACATACAAGTTTTGTGTGGACTCATTTCTCTTGAGTACATAACCAATAGTAGAACTACTGGATCATATGGCAACTCTACATTTAACATTTTCAGGAACTCTCACATAGTTTTCCAAAGTGGCTGCAAATTTTTCACCCTCTCCAGCAATGTATGAGTGCTCTCATTTCTCTACAATCTCTCCAATACTTGTATTGGCTTTCTGTTTATAGCCATCCAGTGAATGTACTTACGTTTTGAATTGTAGTTACCTAACAATTAATGATATTGTGCAGCTTCATCTTGAGCATGTACAATTTGCTCATTTGTATACCCTTGGAGAAATATTTATTCAATTGTGTTGTATGTCTTTTATAGCATTTGCACAATATTGTGCCACCTTTTTCTGGCTTCCATTGTTTCAGATGAAAAATTCACTACAATTAGAATTGGTGTTCCTTTATAGATAATTATTTCTCTCTGGCCATTTTAAAGATATTTTCTTTGTCTTTACTTCTCAGAAGGCTATCTATGCTGTGTCTTGGTGTCTATTTCTTTGGCCTTATTATATTTGTGATAAAATCAGATTCTTGGATTTGTAGCTTTAGGTCTTTGGGCAGATTTGATTAGACGTTTCTTTGAATACATTTTCAGGCTCACATTTTTTCTCCTTTCCTTCTGGGACTCTGAGGATGCAAAGATTAGCTCTTATGTTAATGTCCTGCAGATAGCTGACATTCTGTTCATTTATTTTCAGTCTGTTTTCTCTCTGATCAGACTGAGTAAATTTTCTCAGTCTGCCTTCCAGTTAACTAATAACATCCTCTGTCATCTCCACTCTCCTATGGAGTCCACGTAGTCAGCTTTTAATTTTGGTTATTGTTGTTTTTAATTCCCACATATTCTATTGTTACTCTGTTCCCAAAAGAATAAAAAAGAGTAAATGGAAAGAAGAACTACTAATACTTGAAAAAATAGTACCGAGGATTTTTCAGAATTAAACAAATATCTAAGACTTCAAATTGAATGTGTTCAGAGAGTTCCAAATAGAATGGATAATTAAATAGTCCATATTAAACATACCATAATAAAAATTCAAAGGGAAAATTATAAAAATATTGCAGAGATAAAAGTGGTCAGTAAAGATGAATAACCATCAGATTGTTATCCGACATTTCCATAGCAACACTGCGAAGGTAAGAAAACAATGAAATATGTTCAAAATTTTGAAGAAGTATATGTCTTTTACATGTTAACTTATGACATAGAATTTGCCACCCACTTGAAAATTGTGGTTAAGAGAACTATGACAATTTTGAGGCCAAGGATGTTAAGATAAAATATTTAAAAGTTATAACTAAATGCTAGCTCTTAGCATCTGATTGAGGAAGACCTATTTTTGTTTAGTCCACTTTTATCCCACCACCAATGTTCTTTAAGTGAAGCTCAACATTTCCATACTGTAAGTGAACCCATCCCAATCTTCTGCAGTTGCATAAGTTCAATAAATTGAGAAAGGATTGGGTTCAGTCACATATGACTGAAAACCAAATAGCAGTGGCTTCAACACACAGCTGTTTATTTTTAGGTATCATTTTAATTATGAAAATTCCCAAGAAAGCACAAAAGTATCTCACAAAAAAGAAATAATCGGCCAGGCACAGTGGCGCATGCCTGTAATTCCTGCACTTTGGGAGGCTGAGGCGGGCAGATCACCTGAGGTCAGGAGTTTGAGACCAGCCTGACAAACATGATGAAACCCCATCTCTACTAAAAATACAACAGATTAGCTGGGGGTGGTGGCAGGCGCCTGTAATCCCAGCTACTCAGGAGGCTGAGGCAGGAGAATCGCTTGAACCCGGGAGGCAGAAGTTGCAATGATCCAAGATCGCACCACTGCACACCAGCCTGGGAAACAAGACAAAACTCAGACTCAAAAAAAAATTTTTTTGAAGATAATTATACATCTATCCCCTATGTAGCATCACTCAGTTACATTTATTCTTGCCTTCCATTTTTTTTTATTGGCAATACCATTCCATAGGTTGCGCTGTTTACTTCACATAGACTCACAGAAAATAATCTCTAGTGTCTAGATTCGTGTTTTGGGCAACACAAGCTGACAGCATTACTCAGACATCTGAGATCATAAAACCCAGCCGATGCCATCTGGGTATAAGTCCTAAAGGAAGTCTCACCTGATTCCACCAGAGAACATGATGGACAATATTCCTCACAGTATTGTTTGCAATATGGAGAAGTGAAGGCAAAACAGCACATGCACTCTGGGTTTGGAATGATACACTGTGGAATATGTACACAACGGAATAAGCACTGAAAAGTGGGCTGTGTATATGTACCCGGGAAGGAACAAAACGAATATATGAAAAAGGTCTATCACAATTTCTTACATGTAAGTTAAAATACAGTCACAGAAAGAAAAGCTGCATGCTTTACAAGAATATATTCAAATTTAAGGTTACATATCAAATGTATTAGAGTGGTTGCCTCGGAGGGGAAGGCAAGTGGAAATAGGGAATGAGGATTAAAAAAAAAAAGAAAGCAAAAGTGGTGCCTCTCACAGATAGGTGATGGTCATGTGGCAGGAGCAGAGATATACATGAAAAGACTTCTGTTTGATGCCTGTATTAGTCCCTTTTCATACTGCTATGAAGAAATACCCGATACTGGGTAATTTACAAAGAAAAAGAGGGTTGATGGACTCACAGTTCCACATAGCTAGGGAGGCCTCACAATCATGGCAGAAGGTGAAGGAGGAGCAAAGGCACATCTTACATGGTGGCAGAGAGCATGTGCAGGGGAACTGGCCTTTATAAAACCATCAGATCTTATGAGACTTATTCACTATCAGGAGAACAGGAAGGGAAAGCTCACCTCCACGATTCAATTACCTCCCACCAGGTCCCTCCCACAACATGTGGTGATTATGGGAGCTACAATTCAAGATGAGACTTGGGTGGGGACACAACCAAACCACATCAATGCCCCTCTCCAGAAAGAGCAAAAGAAAATGGTACTCTCTCTGTTTTTTGTTTGTTTGTTTGTTTTTGGTTTTTTTTGAGCCTGTTGCTCAGGCTGAATTGCAATGGCGCAATCTCGGCTCACCGCAACCTCTGCCTCCCAGATTCAAGCGATTTTCCTGCCTCAGCCTCCCGAGTAGCTGGGATTATAGGCATGTGCCACCATGCCCAGCTAATTTCGTATTTTTAGTAGAGACGGGGTTTCTCCATGTTGGTCAGGCTGGTCTCGAAACCACCGTGGCCTCCCAAAGTGCTGGGATTACCGGCATGAACCACCGTGGCTGGCCAGAAAATGGTACTCTCTTTATGGTGGCCTTTTTCAGGGCTGGCATTCAGCTGCTATGCACTGGTACCCCAAATTGGTTGTTCATGGTGGACCCCCATTCTGAGTAGTCAATTCCAGCCTCACTATGTTACCTGGTTCGAAAATGACTGTGCCTCTTCTTGTTTCACAGATGTGTGCTCCTCTTGCGTTCCCCAAAACATTTATCTTTCTCCCACCATCAATTATTGTTAGTTCAACTTAATTTTCTCTTTTAGGCTACGAATCTCCTCACACATTAAACATACAAAATTTTGACCCCTGATGATCAGATTCCATTGAATGTTCTGGGTCCTGTTTTAGGCTGCTGAACCCACTGCTCTTGTCATTTTAAGGCATCTGATTTTTTCGTTTACTTCTAGGACTTCCTCAGTTTCCAGTCTGCTGATTACAGCCTTTCTTAGTTTCAATTTTATCGTTTATTTTTAAGTCATTTCTCTCTCATTTAGGGTGGAAGGGGAGGAGGTTGAGGGGATACATCTGCCCTCTTGCTCAGTTGCCCCTGACACATTTCAGTTTAGAGGTTGAATTTAATTAAGCACAAGAGGAAACTGATAGGACTCTTGGGCAGACCACAGGCAACAAACAGGGAAAATGTGAGGGATCCTGGAGACCTGCTGAGGTGGGGCTGAGAAAACCACAGAGTGCTGGGGACGAGCGCTGGCACAGCTGAAGATGCTGAGCTGGGCGTTGACCCGGATACAGAAACCCCCGCCCCAGGTCTTCCCAATGGCGAAAGGCAGGGCAGCGGAAGTAGATGTAAGAGGGCTCCGGGCAGGGGTGAGGGGTCACCACCGGGGAGATCAGGGACTGAAAGTTCTCGCCAATAGGCTTAGCGCTGGCCTTTCCTCACGGGGAGGTGGGGCACAATGCTTAAGGCGGCTCCCAGTAGCTGGGCAGGGGAAGAACTGGGATTCATCCTGGATCCGCGCTGTGGCTCACGCACCCAAGGGTCCTGGGGCAAGGCTGGGCTAATACAATCAGAAACCTCCGTCATTGCTGTCCTGAAATGTGGTAAGAGAAAGAAAGTCATGAATGCAGGTGATGCTTTCCCTGATCCTCTTTCCTGCCCCTTTGTCTCACCCTGTCCTTGTTACCTGTTCCTCCTCTTTCCCTCCTTTCTCCCTGTCACCTGCTTCCTTCACTGCCCCTTCCTGTCTCCTAAACCTTCTACCCAGGCATTCTCAGCTTTGTCCTCCTGGCCTTGTTCCTTTCAGGACAAAGACAGAGGCAGAGCCCTAGGATGGGACTCCTACAAAGCCTCTGTCTTTTTCTAAGGTCTGTGTCTGCAGGAAGGCAGAGAATGCAAGAAAACACATATTTAAATTGGACTCAGCTGTCATTTTTCCTGCCTCTGTGATCTGTCTTCTTTTTTCTAGCCGTCTTTCTAGGAACAGCATCTGACTCCAGCTCCATTGCCCCCCAGGCCAAATCCAGGCCCCACTCACCTGTGGCACCTGCAGGTCAGGAACACAAACAGGACTCATAGCATCAGGGCCTTGGCCAGGAGGAGTCCACACAGCACAGAGACCAGGAGTTTGGGGTTAGCTGAGCCAGGGCAGATGGGGCACTTGATTTCCTGCAGGGAGGAAGGAGAAAGGAGGATGGACTTGGGCCAGGATGTCACCTGCTGCTGCTGTGTCCCTTAGCCAGGCCTCTTGTGGCTGGAGCTACTTGTATAAGGGCTCACCCTGAACTCACTATGACACAGGGGTGTGGGGCAGGAGCCACAGAGGTCTCTGGAACTGAGAGGAGACCTAGGCAGAAGGAACCTCAAAGTCTTGAATGGAGGAAAAAGCTGGCCAGTGGAAGAACAAGGGATTGGAGGTCAGGGAAGGGGAGCGATAGAGCCAGGGGAGCAGGAACTCTCCCTAACTAGGTCGGGTAGAACAGGACTATCAGGAGCCTCCTAGGAATCAGAGCCAAGTGCATCTTTAAGACCAGCCAAGATATCACACCTGAAGGAATGAGGCCCAGACACTGCACAGGACCTGACTAGACCCTTAGGAGCAGTGACAGAACACAGACCTAGACCTCCTGTCTGCTGGTGCCAGGGGTCCTCCCAGGTCCCCTCTGTGTGGCACCTACTCCTGGCCTGCCTAGCTCTGATTCTGGGACTACCCTGTCCTAGCAAATCTGCTTTTCTCTTGTGGCCTCAGTAGCTTCCTGCTTCAGTATTACTTCATATTTGGTAAAGCTAGTGAGTTCTTTTTATTTTCACTTTTTCATGGTTGATTTAGCTAGTCATGCATTGTCTTTTTTTCATTTAATTTCAGAGTAAACTTTTAAAGTTCTTTACAAAAGTAAACTGAAGTTGTGTTTGGGATTGCATTTAAAGACTTGAATTTGGGGGAAATTGACATCTTTACAATGTTATTGCCTCTTCCAAAATCATGGATTATTTCTATTTATTCAGATCACCAGTCATTTTTTAGCATTTTGTAGTTTTCTCCAAATAGGTCTGGCTTAAATTAATTCTTTCTAGAAACTTAATGATTTTGTCGCTGTAATGAAAACTATCTTAGGTTTCTAAATGATTATTTTTCATAGAGATCTATTTGTGATGTACGTCAGTTGATTTTGTGTCTGGCAACCTTGCTAAATTCTCTTGTGAGATTTAATTGTTTGTTGTTTCTCATTCTTTTTCTGGGTAGATGATACCATCATCTGCAAGTCATGACGGTTTTTTCTCTTCTTGTCTAATCTTCTTTATTGTAACTTGTTTTCCTTTCCTTCAAGCGTTGATCAGAACCTCTAATATTATAGAAGACATTAATAGTAGCTGCAGAAATCCTGAATTTGTTTGTTTATGCTTTCTCCACTAAATAATGTTTATTGTAATCATTGCTGTACAATCTTTACCAAGTTATCTGTTCTTATTTCCATTTTATTAAGAGCTTTTTCATATAACATAAATGTGCTCAAGGTTCCCAAATGCTTTTTGTGCAGCAGTTGACTTTTTCCCCTGTAGTTTATGAATTTGGTTGACTTATATTAATAGATTTTGTAAAGTTGAACAATCCTTTCTGTTTTGTGATAAAACTGTACTCGATCATAATACAGTCTTCTTTTTGATGCACTCTTGAATTCAGTTAGCTAATGGTAATTTGGGAATTGACTCCACGTGCGTCAGAGAAATAAACCTGTAATTTAGTTTTTTTAACCAGTTTAAATCACCTGGTTTTGTGATTTTGATGACACTAGCCCCTTCAAATAACCTGGGCTGTTCTTGCTTCTTTTCTATTTTCTGCAACATCTTGTTTGAAATATAAATCAAATGTTTCTTAAACGATTGAGTTACCTGTAAAACCAGGTGAGTCTTGAATTTTCTGTGAGGGTGGAGCTTATCTACCATTCCAGTTTTCCTATTTATTAATCTATTGAAATTTGTTTCTTCTTGTGTTAATCTTTGCAGTTCATGTTTTTTAAGGAATGTGTGCACTTCTAAGGTTTAAAACAACAAGATTTTGTTCAGGATTTATTTATTTTAAAATCTCTATAGAATGAGTGCATGGTTATTTTCTTCTTTTTCTTCAATTTGTTATCATCTTCTTTTATCTTCATTTGTCTTGACAAGAATATGGCTATCTTTTTAAACTTTCAAAGAATGAATTATGACTTCCCTTGATCTTCATTTTCAATCATTCAATTTATTTCAGCCCTTACCGTGATTGTTTCCCTCCTTTATGATTCTTTGGGCATGCCCTGGTGCTCACGTTCCATCTTCTTAAGATGCTTCCTTAGCTCATTAATTTGAAAGCTTTCATGTCTTCCAACAAATATATTCAAAGCTACTAATTGATCTCCAATATTAACTATGCCCCATACTTTTTGATATGTAGTGGTGATATTATCAAAATATATTTTATTACATACTTAATAATTCACATATGAATGTATTAATAATTAGTTTTAAAAGTGTTATTTTATCTTTACTTCTCTTATGCATTCTTAATGTTATTGCATTGGGTTTGGAGAATATATTCGGTGTCATACTGATTCTTTGGAATTTCTTCATGTTTCTTATATGTCTTCATACAAGGTGTCTTTTTGTAAATACATTCCTTGTATTTGAAAGAATGTATACTATCTGTTTTTAATTATGTATAGGGTTATAAACATGTGTATATCTACTTATACATGGTTTACATAATATATATTATGAATACTGTATTTTATAAAACATACATAATACATTTATATAGTTTAGAACAGTTTCAATCTGAAACTACATATTTATATATTTGAAAATATTATTTATTTAAAAGTATAATTTATTACATATTCATCCTATATTCTTATACATATCTTATAATATATACAACACATTTATAAATATTATATGATGGCATAGTACCTGGAATTTATTAGTTATTTGGCTTAGAACTTAGATCCCTCTATTTAGTTTTGGTCTGATTGGTCTTTGCTCCTCTGAGAGGTATGTGAGCCTCCAACTACAATAGCTAATATTTACTTCTCCTTGCATTTCTGGTAGTGTTGTTTCATATATTTCATGGCCAAAATTTAGGCACACGTGCTTATGATGGCTCTATTTTCACATTCAAGCACATCTTTCATCAGTATATATAGTGTCTCTTTGTCTATTTTATAGACAAATTTATAGACATGATATTTTGCCTTAAATTCTATTTTGTTCAATATTAAGAGTACCAGAACAGTGTATTTTGTTTCCTAATAGTCAAATATAGTTTTCTTTTTTTTTTATTATTATACTTTAAGTTCTAGGGTACATGTGGATAACGTGCAGGTTTGTTACATATGTATACCTGTGCCATGTTGGCGTGCTGCACCCATCAACTC